AAAAAAAAAAAAAAAAAAAAAAAAAAAAAAAAAAAAACCTAGGCTACCAGCCAGGCCGCCCGGGACACCCCGTTTCCCCGGGCGGCCGGGCCGTGCAAGGACCGGGGACGGTCTCAGCGAAAAAAAAATAATCCAAAAATTCCGAAAAAAAACTATGTTATGCAAGAAACAAAACTGAACAACTTTTTCCTCAGGGTCAAATCGAAATTCTTTACCAAATTTTAAATAAAAAATAAAATTGAAAAACATTTTTTTTATTTTTTATTCTTTTTTTTTTTGGCCCGGCCGGGCAAGTGGTCCCGTGCCACTCTGGTAGCCTAGGAAAAAACAGAAAAAAACAGAAAAAAACAGAAAAAAACACAAAAAAACACAAAAACACAAAAAAACAGAAAAAAAGAAAAAAAGGAAAAAAGAAAAAAAAGAAAAAAAAAAGAAAAAGAAAAAAGAAAAAATAGCGACCTCAGCGTAGTCGCGAGAGTTGTTCTGGTGGATGTTATCTGTGTAATGTGTAGTTGATTACCCGGAACGGATCTGCTGACGTGGCGATGTCGATGGCGGATAAATGTGTTCTTGTCTGCCACGTGTCATTATGTGTCATTAATTACCAATCAAGGGTCGGAAAAGAAGATTAATTTCCAATCAGGATCGGATAAAAAGATTAGCCGCCACGTCAGCATCTATGTGAACTCGTGGCAGTCGTGGTTGGTATTTGTGTAATGTGTAATTGATTACCCGGAAGGGATCTGCTGACGTGGCGATGTCGATGGCGAATGAATGCGTTTTCGTCTGCCACGTCTCATAATGTGTTACTAATTACCAATCAGGATCGGATAAGAAGATTAATAAAAAAAGATTGGCCACCTCAGCATAGTCACGAGAATTGTTGTGGTGGTTGTTATCTGTGTAATGTGTCATTGATTGCCCGGGAATGGATCTGCTGACGTGGCGATGTCGATGGCGGATGAATGCGTTGCTTCCTATCTGCCACGTGTGATGGATGGTTGGTTGGGTGCAGATGGACGGGTTTTCTCTTCCGCCGAGTCAGCCAATTTCGGTCTTTCGAGATCTAGACACTGTATGGTGAGTTTTCTGACATCTGACTCATGAACGTTGATATAATCCAATCCCATAAGTCATAAATAAAAATAATACTATAATGAATAATAAATAATGAGAAATATAATGGTCTATGTATGTGCCGTGCGACCTTCTTCGTGAAGATGCACTCCGCCTTTTTCCCCATGGTCTGTCGCACAGTTTGTCCTCCCGCTCCCCACCATACCCCCACGTTCGACAACACAACGAATTAGACAGAATCAGGTAAGGATTGATGTTTGGAAAAATAATAAATAAATAAATAAATAAATAAATAAATAAATAAATAAAGAATGAAAATACCCCCACGTTCAACAACACAACGAATCAGACAGAATCAGGTCAGGATTGATGTTTGGAAAAATAATAAATAAAGTAATAAATAAATAAATAAATAAATAAAGAATGAAAGGACTGATGTGAACACAATCCCGACATTGCGGACAGCGAGATTTGAAATTTGAATGAAATTTGAATGAAATTTGAATGAAGCCAGAGATTTTCTCTGTTGTAATCCCTGTGACGTCACCACCTCCTCCTCTCCCGCTCACTGCTAACAGCAGCAGGCTGGACGTGGCAGCAGCCTGCTGGCCTCCTATCACCCAGGTTCATTTCCATTCATGTCGAGCCAGCAAGCCTAACTTCTGCTAAGTACTTGGCGGTAGGTAGGTTGCTCTTTTTTGCCAGGTGGGTGGGGGGCGGGGAGGGACGGATAGGTTAATTCAATATTCCTTTTTTCTTAGCTAGACAGATAGATAGATCGATCGATAGATAGCTAGAAATGGCCGAGGGCGACATCTTAACTTTTGACATGTAAGTACGTAGTAGCCGACACTGCTGTTGGCCTATTCATTACCTAAAAAGAAGGCTGGACCTGTAATGAAATTTCCAAACTTAGTCGTTCACACTTGTGTTTGCCGGACATGTAATGAATGAATTTTCAAAACTTAGTCGTTCACACTGTTTTGGATTTTCAATCACACTGTTTGGATTTTCAATCACACTGTTTTGGATTTTCAATCACACTGTTTTGGATTTTCAATCACACTGTTTTGGATTTAAAAAACTACGGCAGGCAGGCTGGACGCCATGAGGCCGCGAAGTGCTGACGCTTTTTCTGGTTGACGCTTTCACACCTTTGAGAGTGAATAGAGAATTGAGTGCTGTTTCTAGGTGAAGGCTGAACAAGCCGATGATGCTTAAGACTGGTCTTTTTGGCTGATCAGCTACACTGGGACTGAGACACACGGCGGAGACTCCTACGGGAGGCAGCAGGGGGGGGGGGGGGGGGGGGGGGGGGGGGAGTTGGGACAAAAATGGGTGAAAGCCGGGATCCAGCAATATCGCGTGAGTGAAGAAGGGAGGGGATTTATCTAATAAAGCTCTTTAATTGGTAGTGAGATTATGACGAAAACCGAAGAAGAAAAAAGCCCCGGAGGTAGGCGAGAGCCGCGCTCGCAAGAGCGTTTTCTTTTCTTTTCTTTTGGTCCTAACTATCGAAGGATTTCGATTTGGGAAAAAAATAACTTTGGTCACGATTCTGAGTTTGGTTCATGCATGCATGGGCTCCACGTGGCAGGTCTATTCCTGATTCTAAGTCAATCCTACACTGACTCTGACTGGCAGTGTGCAGAAGACCGGAAATGGAAAAAAACGAGATCGCGACCTGGACTTGTTTTTTTTTCTGGGAGTCCAGTCTGCAGACTGGAATGGCAGGGAATCCGGATCCCGACCTAGATTGTGTGGCAAGTCAGTGTGCAGACTGGAATGGTAGGAAACCCAGATCCCGACATGGACTGCCTGTCTGGGAAGGCAGGCCACGGACTGGAAAGGAAGGAGAACCCAGATCTCGACCTGGAAGTTGGGCGCTGGGACTGGGTATAAAGGGAATTCCCATCATTTGAGTGGGGGTACAGATGCAATTTTCCATTTCCCCTCCCGCCCCCCCCCCCTTCTTGCCTCCTTTTTTTCCCTTCTCTTCTCCGCCCTGCTGTTTTGTTTTCCGTTTTTCTTCTTCTTTTTGGGAAACAAATCTCTTCGTTCATGAGAAAAATTCGGGTTTTCAGGTCTTCACCCCATCACCCTTGAACCGCAATAGTCCTACCAAGGCCGGGACTGTGTTAGGGTTTTGGGTATAGGGGTTAGCGATACCTAGGGTTTAAGGTCTTAGGATGCAGATATTGTTTTTTTTTTCTTTTTTCTTTTTTTTCCTGGTTGTTCGCTAGAGAAAGGGAAACGGAAAACGAGAACAAGGTCACTTCTTTGCAGACGGCCAGGGGCGAGAGGGGGGGTGTTGGGGTGGGAAGGGTAGGTGTGTGGCGGTTTGTTTATTTGCCATTTTGCAAAATAAATGGGGATAAAACAAAAGGGGGTGATCTGTGTCCATACCTACAACCGCGAAGGGTCATCCAGGACTCATCCCCGTTTTCTTTTTTTTTTGCGGGTGTCTTGGCAGGTCGGGGCCTCAACGGCCACAGCAGGAAGGCTGACTGCCATGTAGAAGGAGGAGAGGGGATGGAGGAGGAATGCGAACTCGCCATAGTGGGAGATAAGAGACAGCGAGGATAGAAAAGAGAGGAGTTTGTGTGTGTGTGTGTGTGTGTGTGTGTGTGTGTGTGTGTGTGTGTGTGTGTGTGTGTGTG